TTTTTAATTTATTTAAATAAACACACCCCAACTCCACCCCCTCACGTTACCTTACCTACCCCACCATTTTTCCCTATTTAAATAATAGTCTTTTTAGGTAAAACAAGGACCAAGCACGTAACAAAAACAAATAGTAGGGATCTTCCGAGTTAAAAAAAAAAGTTAGGGACCAAACACGCAAATTACCCCAAACCATAGGGACCATTCGTGTAATTTACTCAATTGTTTTCTTGTTTGTTCATCCTAGAGTGGCTAAATTGATAAAATGGTCAAAGCACATTGTGTTTTTCTGTATTATGTTATGGCCTTGTATGATATAATTAGCTAAGCTTCGATTCTAATTCAATCTTTTTTTTTTTTTTAATATTCTATATTTATTTTACGGTTTTACCACAAACATCTTGACTAATAAAAATATCAAAATGCTTTACACACCTGTGATGGTTGAATACGTTCCTCATGTACTACAAAAGGTGGAGTCTTTGGAGTTTTTGAAGCTGTTTGATCCTTTGGATACTTAGAAAATGAATATGGTGGAGATGATTTTGAGAATCCACCAGCACCCCTTAAATAAACCGTTGATCTGAAGAGTAAAAAAAAAAAAAAATTTAAACTAACTGTGACAAATAGGTAACATTTGTAGACACCTTTTTATTTCTACATTAATAATTCAAGAAATATTAACCTGTTCATGCTTAGTAGTTCACCAGTCTCTTTTTCATAACTCAAAACTTCAAACTCAAGAATTGCAGCTTTACCTATAGAAAAATGAACACTAAAGAAGTAATTCTTACTGAAAAAATTATGTATCCATGTTACCTTTGACTATTTCTATCATAAATATATGGGGAATTTAGAATTTAGATCAAACCTTTATCATGCAACCCTACAATGCTTGCCTTGTTCCTCATCTGTAAAGGAAATGGAGAATAAAAGATGTCAATGACACCAAGAATACTGCAGCAATAAGATATAGGGATAAGTGCAAATGTTAATAAAATAGTAATTTTGCAACACTTTAATGGTTACATGTAATAACTGGCCCCACATGGATAGTTGTTACATAGAATAGTATTTAAAAGAGTATATGCAGTTAAGTCTGAGTAAAGAAAAAATAGCCTTATTAAAACTTAACAGAAGTGTTTATAACAGAATAAGGAACAGATTCTCACTGAACAATTAGAAGGTAAAGGCTTGCAGATCTCAATATATTGCTGACCATGTAAAAGAAGGCGTGGATCAAACCTAAAACATATAGAAACAAGGTTAAAACAATTACAAAGAAGAATTGTTTTTTAGGTTAGAGTTGATTCAATGAAGTGAAATAGGTTATATTTTGGTGTACATCATATAAGGATTAGATATGCAAAGAAAGGGAAAGTCAACTGGTCAAGGTTAAGTAAAGGAGGTCAAATCAGGTCAAGGCAATTCAGTTGAGTTCACCTTTTGTAAACCTTTCCATTTCATAATCAATCATTTTCAGTTCTTAATATGATCATTCAGCACTAAGCTACAAGTATACAACATATTTTAGCAATATAATAGTAACACTTACATAAATCCTGGCAACTGCTCTAGGTTATTAATAAGTCCAATGGAAAAGATAGCTGCAAAAGTTGGAAGCACCTACAAAGGATGAAACACCACAAGATTTTCAAATTATCAACTCTGAAAGATTTTGCTAAGAAATTCTATCCAATTTGTAACACCTGAATGGATTGTTGCCCATCTTCATGGTAAACATATTTGAGCTCCTTATCATCTAAAGCATCTGTACTACATGCTCCAATTCCTAGGGCGTATACTGCAACATCTCTATTTTACCTCAAAGAAAGCAACCAATGAGTAATAAATCCATCTTCTATTAAGTGTCAAGAGGAATGATGATTACAAATGATGTATACATGTTCAACCTACCTTTCATTATAGGTGTATGTCGTCTGCAATTACACAACAGAATAAAGTCAAATTAAACCAATAGTGGTCAAATTATATATATTTAGTTTATAGTTCCTAAATTAGAAATGGATCGCTAGTTCGCTACCACTACAACCAACGAATTTCAAAACGAAGACTGATTTCAATATGTTAAAAGTTTATTTTCTGCAACATAGCATGATCGCAGTACCTAATAATCATAAGTGAATTGAAATAACTGATTGCGGATGGAAATAAACGGTGAATTTTTTTTATACCTCTGGGAATTTGTGATCAATTACAAGCTCTGGATTAATCATGGAATCGTCACTCATGATTGCTCCTCCCGGTGATCTAAAACACAACCAGAAGAGGAAATACTAAAATTAATGCTACAAATAGTATATATCAATTGAAACTAATACTTTCGAAGCTCAAACTCTTACCAAGTCTCTATTTTATTTTCTTGGCAGTATAGTAGTATAGATTGAAGAAGAGAGTTTACTTGCGTCGGAGAAGAGATTATATGATATTACGCAGTTCGAGGTATGAGATAAAATTTTATGACTTCCTTGCCGTTGAACATTCCAAGAAGTCAAATAAGCCTGGCCCATGTAGGTGTGGGTAAAATTGATGGGTAGTTAGGTGGATCTCTCAATTCACAGTGACGTCAAGTTAAGTTTATTATTATTATTAGACAAAACTGCACAAATGGTCCCTGTGGTATGTCGAAAATTGCCACTTTGGTCCAAAAAGGTTTGGACTAGCACCACATATCCAAAATTTTCATTTTGTTGCGAGTTTGGTCCAATCTGTTTTGAATTTTTATAAAATGACGATTTTGCCCTTTGTATTTTCATTATTTATTTATTTTTTAAATTACAAAAACTAAAAAAGGAAAAAAAATGTTTGTATTATTACCCCCCACCCCATATTTTTCTCTCTCCCATTCAGAAAAAGGAAACACCACCAGATTTCCGGTGGCTGCCGGAGCACCGTCGTCCGACCACTAAAACCACCGTCGACGTCGGAACCCTAGAACTATCCGGCGCCGACTTCGCCAGAGAAAAAAAACTGAGATCTGAACCTCCAGAGACCATCATTCTTCTTTCTTTCTGCTGCTACGATGGCCATCTCTCTCTCTTTCTCTCCCTTCTACTGTTATGAACCGCCTGTCGGACCATCCAAATTACCACAGATGACGAAGATCTAAACATCTCGCCGCCACGACGAAGATCTAGATTTGCTGGTTGTTCGACAAGAAAAAGAGAGAGAAAGAGGGTTAAAACAGATCTGAAAACTTGGGGTTTCGTAAAACTAGAAGGGTGGCGGCGTTAGGTCTTTTGCTGTGTAGACACCTCGTCGGGGAAGAAGAGAGTCGAGCGGTTTGATGGTTCTGATGCCTGAAACTAGAGTTTTATCGAGCCACAGACGTCATCATCATTGCCGATGACGAACAGATCGAAGGCGTCGTCAGATGAGAAGATAAAAGACAAAGGCGATGATGGTTTCGACGAAAAGCAAATAGAAAGAGGGAAAGATTGAGTCCGGTTTCCGACAGATCTACGTCGTCCTTAGGAGGGTTTCTTGTTCGCCGGAAAACGATTTCTTAGATTTTGCAACTGATTTCTCGATTTCTAGCAAACCCGACTCAGTTCATCTATCTTCTCAATCCGTCCTTCGCCCCTTTCTCAGATTTATGGCACCAGAAACCCTAGCCTCAAATATCGAAACCCGCTTCGTCGGAAGCCTCCATCGCCAGTGGTGGTGGTTGGTGGTGAAGAAGATGAGCAACTTATTGTGTGGAGAGAGAGAGAGAGAGATAGTTTGCATTTTTTTTCCGGTATAAAAAATTATAATAATAAAATAAAAAAGGAAAATTTTCTTTTTTATTTTTCTTTTAATCAGAAAAAATCTTTAAATAATAAAAAAAAACTGAAAAATGAAAAAACAAGGGTAAATTCGTCATTATGAAAAAGTTCATAGCAAATTGGACCAAACTCGCAACAAAATGAAAAGTTTGGACCTCTGGTGCTAGTCCAAACATTTTTGGACCAAAGTGGCAATTTTAAGCAAACCACAGGGACCATTTGTGCAGTTTAGTCTTATTATTATTATTATTATTATTATTTTACAAATTAAAAAATAACTTGTTAACTTTTTAAAAAAACTGTAAGAATACGTTACACTCTTTTGTTTTTCTGTTTTATTGACTTTGCTCAAACGTACATTGTTCAAAACGGTATCTATTCCATGAATAAAGTATAGTTAAATACTGACATATCCGATCGTTATAGTGAACCTGGAGAGAATTTTTATATTTGGAGCCTAAAGCGAACAATATTGTATTGTATGTAAGAGGGAGATGTTACAACTGATATCTTGAGATTAGTTTGATTTTGCTTTATATTTTATATTTTTATTTATTGGATCTCCATCTTCATTAACCTATTCCCAAAAAATTATATTTTTTTCTTCTTTAAATCCTTCATATTCAAAAAGTAATTCATATAACCAAGCCATTATTTAGGAAAAGGATATACCAAAACTTTCGGATACACTTACCAAAGAGTTAGGACAAATCTTTAACATTCTACCAGGATTAGCCTTCATGAATGATGTCTAAATTCGAAAATGGTACCCACGATCACAAGACTTTGCATCATCAAGTGACCTCTTTGTCTCGAAAATGTGTGTATTTGAGCTAGAGCTCACCAATTTACAGGAAGAAGCCATGAAAGATGAAGAAGTTGTTCACAAGGATTGCTACACATTGGTTCTTGCCCTAAATCGATTCATTAAGGTGGGATATATCATTTAATGCTGAGTCGGTATGCCTACTTACTAACTGAGCAGTAAAACTCATATACTAATATGAAGTAACTTGTTACTATAAAGTGTGATTTGAACAAATGATATACTTATATGATATTATGTGTACAAATACTATAGTTTACTGATTTTTTTGTATTTATTAAACTTCAATGTTTTTTTTTTTTTTTTTTTTTGAATAATTTTAATAGTTAACTACCCTTCTACTTCGTTTTCCATACGGTTAACCACTATTCAATGTAGGGGCTAAACTAACATTAACAAGAAGTAGAAGTACCATATGCGAATTTATTATACCAAAAGACACAGGTCCATAACAGTTTCAACCCGTATGAACCTCAAAACCTCGCCGCTTAACGTAAAACCCCCGACCGATAATGGCCGACGAATCCGTAAGCGCGCCGGTTGTTAACGATCAAGATCCCGCAATAGCGGCCGCGGACGAGATGAAGCTTCTTGGATATGCCGTGCAGGAACTACCTGCTCACGCAGTGAAAGACCTGTTTGCGCACGAGGTTTGTGCGTTTTTATTTCAATCTCTTGTTACACTTGAGTTTTTTCTGAAATTATAGGGGAACATTTTCTTTGTATTGAATATTAAACAAAGTTTATGATTTTGGCAAAAAAATTTCCCGAAAGTTTCATAACCAGTGTTAATTTTAATACGCCTGCGAAAGAGCTGATCATGACACTCGTGTGTTTGTATCTTCAATCTCTTACTAGCTAGTAGCGACACTTTAAATCTTTCTGAATTTTCAGAGAAAAGTTTTTTGTGTATTATTTATTTTACCAAGTTTGAGACTGTTGTTTCAGATAGGCCTGTAATCGATGTTGAATTTCCAATGCGCTTGCTTTCTCGTGAGTCACATTTTGGCATTCAATTTTAGTGCTTATAATATATTTCATTAGAAGGCGTTAATAGCTATATCTTTTAAAATATTTGGTTAACCAACCAGAACACAAGAATAGTAGTTAAAAATATATTGATTAAATGTTATCATAAACTCCTGTCAAGAATCTTATATAGATACACCTTTTGCATCTGCATGTATGAAACTATGAATGATACATTCAAATTTAAGTGTACTTTGACATAAGAGAACTTTAGTTTTGTTTATTGAATGTTGGTTCCATGCATAAAAATATCGCCAATATACAAGCAAAGAATAAAAGTACATGATCAAATTGTTTCACTAGGTAGGCATTTTTATCTAAAGATCCATCTGATCTTAATATCTTTTTGAGATCTGATTACTGCATTTATGCATTGCTACTTTGCATACAGTGATGATGGAGCTTCTGAACTTCTTTGATGTTATGCAGGTGTGTGTCCGATGCATTTTTCGGTTATTTAACATTCATGAGGGTATTTATGCTTTGCTATCACCAACAACCATATATTCCATTATTAAAAAAGCTATAAATTCAGAAGATATGGCGATTAAGAGCACCAAAGATACTGAAGAATTAGAAGTGAAGTCAAGTATTTGTTCAGTTTGCTTAGGTGTCTTGCAGTTTAGTTATCTTGATGAGAGAGATACTTTATTGGGGAAGGATCATGCTGAAGACTTTGCCATGGCAGTTGCTGAAAGTGTGAAAGAGAAAGGTCATGAAATTCCCAGTTTTACCCTTGAAGTCTCGTTGCCAACACTCATTACAGAAAATGAACAAGTGATTCTGTAAGTTATTATTCTCAAATTAGATTTTTCAATATATGCAACTTCATCACCATTAACTCCCTCTTATTTTCTTATCCAGATCGTATTTGAAGAAGAAGTATGCTTCTGAAGTTTGGTTTCAAGAGAAATTCTCATCTGAACATATTTCAGTAAAGGATGCACTCAAGCTATCTATGACACATCCCCTTGAAAAACTTTTGGTAATTTGGAGAAAATTTACCACATTTGGAGAAAATTTCCTCCTTTATGCTGGAAAGAAAGCTACATTTTTTACTTTCTAATATTATATACCAAACCTATGACTCTTACATGCTCAATGTGTGTATGAATCTTGATATAGATAAAACACCAATATAAAAGATAAACTCCATTAATTTTTTTAGTAAGGTATTTTAGAAAAGCTTTTTGTTTATGCAATTCAATTATTGCAGGGTGTTAAATCTGGTGTTAGTGATTTTCGTATTCGTTTGACATTCGAACATGTTGATGCTACATCTGCTGAAAACAGGATAGGGAAAAACCAAGGGAATAAGAGAATAAAATCAGGCATGTATGATGTATGGTTTACTTATTCTTCTTTGTCCAAATTTTAAAAAAGTTTATATTTGCATCTATTTGAATTTACATAACAGGTTTAAAAAAATTTCCAACTCACAAATAACTGTATAATTCAAAAAATATACTAACAGGATCAATTGCAGATGAAAGTAATGGACTTGTTAAATGTAGCAATGGGACATTGCAAAGTGGTGATGCATCTGACATTAATTCTCCACTGAAAAAAGTAAATACTAAATATAATGTCTCATGAAGCATTAGTTTGAGTTGTGTTGTGGTGTTTTTGACCTTTATTTTGTCTTATTCTCTTTTCTCTTAGGTTGGTCAACCTTGTCACATGACATTGGTTTGTTCTAGGGCACCTGTCTTCATTGGTGGTCGATATCTCAAGGTATTTTAAGTTTTAACTTTTTGACTTTGTTAGACTGATACAGGTGTTGGAATTATGTTTTAGGTCAAGTAAATTTCGAGTTTTGGATCCTAATTTAACTGAATATGATTTTAGATAATAATATAACCATAAAAGTAAAGGAAACAGTTTAAACAGATGGATGGATAATACCACTGAATGTTGGTTTGTTCTAGGGGATTGGAATCAGTTGTAGATGCAATTAATACCACCGAATGTTGTTTATTTTGACTTAATTTAATGATAATCGTACGTAATAATTAATATTAATAACAAATCTGCTCCTTTTTTGTGTTAGTTCTCAAGAAATGTGAGTCAAACCCGTTGGATAATTGATGAAGAAAGGAAGGGAGAGGCGTCTGTTGAGGTACTTACTGGCTTAATTTTCATTTTGCAAAAGAAATCATCTTTTATTTTTTTTAAATTGTGAAAAAATTGGCTGATTTTTTAGGAGCTTATTGGTGGCAATATCCTTCCCATGTGTAATGGTGATAGCTACAAGTTTCATGCTGCTGGGAGAGAGGATATAGATGTATGTATACATTCTTTACTCGGTGTAAATTTTTTAAGAGTAAATTACACAAATGGTCCCTATGGTTTAGGGTAATTTGCGCGTTTGGTCCCTAACTTATTTTTCTAACTCGGAAGGTCCCTACTTTTTGTTTTAGTTACGCACTTGGTCCCTATTGTTTGTTTTTGTTACACGCTTGGTCCCTCTCTTAACTAAAACGATTATTATTTAAATAGGGAAAATGGTGGGATAGGTAAGTTAAGAGGAGAGGGGTGGGGTTGAGGGTGTGTTTATTTAAATAAATTAAAAAATCAATGGCAAAATAGTCTTTTTATGTATGATAGGGACCAAACGTGTAACAAAAACAAACAATAGGAACCTTCCGAGTTAAAAAAATAAGTTAGGGACCAAATGCACAAATTACCATAAACCATAGGGACCATTCGTGTAATTTACTCATTTTTTAGACTTTTTTGTCCACTAATTGTGGTCTGATCATGAAACCCGTGTACTTTTCAGGTGAGGATGTTGGGGTCAGGTAGGCCATTTTTGGTTGAGATACAAAATGCCCGTTTTGTCCCTTCTGAAGTATCCATCAAGGAAATGGAAAACAAGATAAATAGTCTCGAAAGTAACCTGGTGAGTTATAGGCTGCATTTGTTACGCTTTTTATGGCTTTTTTTTTCATGAGATGATTGGGGAGGGCATTTACGTCTTTTTTCACATACGATAGATCAAAAGCGAGTCCGTATCCTATCTCTTTGGATGGAACAAAATAGTGTAACTTTTTTTTTTGTCCCATTGGATCAGACTGGTCAAGCTTTTTAGTGCTATTTTTTTTTTGATGAGAATGTTGAGGGCATTTACGTCATTTTCATAGACTAACATTAAAAACTTGGATCCATACTGAATGCATTGTGTACCTAGGTTAGAGTAAGACATCTGAAGGTTGTAGGGAGTCAAGGATGGAGCTTAATGCGTGAAGGAGAAGCAGAAAAACAGGTAATTGTCACTTAAGTTTAATTGTAGAAATACTTTCATAATCAAATAAATGAAAAAAAAAATGAAAGTATGATGCTATAATATAATAAACAAATAAATAAATGAAAGCAAAGTACATTGCTATTTCTTGCATTTAGCCCTTAACATGGGTGTTTTCTCTTGTCATATGCTTTTTTGCAAACAGAAACAATATGCTGCTTTGGTGTGGATATCTCGCCCTATTAGTGATGATGATGTGGAAGCTGTGACATCCCTCAAGGAATTGGTAAATTATATGTGGGCCCTTGAAAATATCACATTATACTTTAAAATAATTGAGCTAGTTATATAAGTGGAACATGTTTTGTATTTTAGTAACATTCCTGTAGTTATATGTAGTTTTCAAAATACAACATTGTAAAATGAAGATATGATATTAAGATACTAATCATAATAATAATAATAATAATAAAATAATGAAAGTATGTTGCTATTTCTTGTGTTTTTAAACTGTAAATTCATTGGGTGTTGCAGAAAGTTTTGCAGAGAACACCGGTTAGGGTTCTTCATAGGCGAAGTCCTTTGGATCGAGAAAAGACTATTCATTGGTACAAACTCTGCATCTGTTAATTATAAGTTTTATTATATATATGTAATATGTTATTTAACTTTTTTGGATGTGTTTTTTTATGATATTAATTTTTAATGGCAGGATGAAAATTGAGAAAATTGCTGGAAGTTGTCAGTATTTTCTACTTCATCTATGCACCCAAGTAAGATTTGATTCTTATTTCTCAGTTATGTTTGAATAGAGATAATAGTAAGATTAAATTGCGTATTCCGACGGAATTGGAATTCAAGATTCCATTCCATGGTGTGTTTGGTTGCTAAATGGGTAGATGCGAATATACAAACAAATTAATAACCATAAGAAAATGAAATTTATAATTGCTTTAATATTATTTATTAAATATAATCCGTAATTAATTATTGTTTTTCCTTTCATTTTTTAATCAACAGGCTGGAACGTATATCAAAGAATTTGTTCATGGAGATCTTGGACGTACAAATCCTAGGTACATTAACACTTTTTTTAACCACTTAATTTCATGTCATTTTAAAATTTTATTGAAAAATATGCCACTAAAGCGTTTTCTAGTGTGTGCCCCTCATATCAAGGGCAACCATGTAAATTTACATAGGGTTAACTACAAATAAAAAAATGCAACTACTTTCACCATTTTATTAACCCATGCAAACATAATTAATGCAACCAACATTCTGTTTTTCACCTTTTTGATGTGTAATTTAACCATTTAGTAAATTGTTTTTATCTGATTTTCTTATTTTTTTTAATTTTCAATGTTGCAGCATTGGGTCTATTCTTGGGTGTAGGGCTGAAATTCTGCAACTTGATGTGACAGATGTCAAAATGGATACCTTAACCGAATGACTGCTGTATGTGGTGGATTTTTGAAGTGGTAAAACATTTGACTAAATATACCCTTAATTAATTATAGAAAACTTATTTTGGAAAATACCCTTTTATGTAATTTTATATCTAGCTTATTTTTGAAGTGGATTTTTGAAGTGGTAAAAAGCTAGTCTAAAGCTGCGATTGGCATGCCACAACTAGCTTATTTTTCGAGCTTTTTTGGGTTGTCGTGTTTAATAAGCCAAAAAGCTAGCTTTTAAAAAGCTACTTGGAGTAGCTTATTAGGAGCTTTTTTACAAACTTTCCAAATATACCCTTAATTAATTATAGAAAACTTATTTTGGAAAATACCCTTTTATGTAATTTTATATCTTTTAGCTAGCTTATCAGTTAGTTTTTACAAAACTCTTTTTTATCATCTAGCTTATCAGCTAGCAGCTAGTTTTTCAGCTATTAGTTAGCTAGCGCACCAAACATAGACTAAGTAGTTTTTTAAAAAGCTAGCTTATAAGCTACTTTTTGGTTTGCAAAACACAACATAAAAAAACTCAAAAAATAAGTTAGCTTATCAGCTAGCTGTAGCACATCAAACACAGTCTTAGTTTAATTCGGTATATTTTTCAAAATACAATGCTGTAATAAGAAGAAATACTTGAAAGTACGTTGTTATTGCTTACATTTAAACATTTTTTATTTTTATTGCAGATTTTGAGTGGATGTCATGCAATTACGTTGTTTTTGTAACTGTAGAATCTTGTGTCTATGTTGATTGACACATAAGGGAGCATGAAATGATGGGAAGAAAACATGGATGTATTTTTTCTATGTAATGACTTGTATCTCATGCATTATAAGTTGTAAATTAATTTTTACACCAGCCAGCTGAAATTAGATTTTGAAGAGTCCTTTTAATAGGCTCCAAGGGGTTCTAAATTAATTCTTACATATGTGAGTTCTAATTTATTAATTAATTCTTTGACTTTCAGAGTCGCTTTGTTATTATTATTGTGGCAAAAAAAATGGTTTTTCTGTCATATTGTTACCATTGGGATGCAAAAAAGATATCCAAATTCGTGAGGAAATCCTAGTTAGATAAGAGGAAATCAAGAGGAAATCGCATGGCCTGCGATTTTAAGGGAAATTTAAAATTAAAAAAGAGAACTCTTATATCTATACGGCTATACCTTAGTTTTGGGCCATGAGCCGAAATTGGGGACAAATTGCAGCCCAAGAAGAGGGCAATCACAGCTAGAGGGTATGGAATCGCAAGTCAGCCTAGCCATCTACGATTTCAATGATTATTTTTAGAAAGACTGGATATTTTTGTTATTTTTTAAGAAGTCATAGACTAGATTTGTAATTTTCTAAAAAAAACTACAATTGCTAATAAAACAACATTAGTGTGCATACTAGCATGCAATATGATTGGAATAACTTCATGAATGTATATTTTTTTTAGCTTTGAAAGTGTTAGATTTTTTTAAGGCTACCCGGTATGGGAGGCATTTCACGCGTCTTGGGCTGAGGTGGCAGCCTCTCTCACGCGTAAACACCGCCCCCAAAGCTAGTGGGCTGCGTGTGATGTGAATGGGAAGATGGGAGAAGACGCTACATTTGATTGGTTGTGAATCTGACCCCTCACAATTTCCCTCTTTCTCTCTCTTTCTTTTTGCCTTCTTCACCACCAGCCCACTGGAGAACACCATTTCCATACCCTGGTGGGTTGGGTGTGGAATGGTGAAATATCTATGTGGCATCACAAACAACGCGTGACCATTCCGTATGGCCTAATGGTTGATGAAGATCCTTTGTAAGTCTAAGACCAAATGGTGTGGATGCGGTTTGGTCTTATTTTTGCCATGGTGGCAGGGAGTACATCGTGCCCACCTTGTGGTTTCCTTTACAGTCTCATCGTATGCGGCTATTTTTGGTTGCACCTTTCTCTCTCTTGCTCTCTCTTTTCCCAACATTGAACCGTCATTTTTTTTTTTAAATTTGATTTTGTTTTTTTATAAAAAATTTTACCTAGAAATAAAACTTTACAAACCCTAATTTACCAAACTTCAATCAAATTCTTTTATCTTTCACTATCTTTTTTGTTTTTTATTTCAAAAACTCTTAATTGTCTTCTCCCATCAGCCGTTTTATTAATCTTCGCTTTATCACTATGATGGTATGTTATCGTATTATCCACACAAATTCCCACAACGACCAACACAAACACAAACACAAACTCAAACCCAAACTGTACCCGATACGGATTTTAATCCACTTGATTTTCTGTCTAAACCAAAATTTGTTCAAGAAACTCAAGCACCGATTTTCGATTCCGAAACCGAAATCGTTTGAGAAACCCAACCCACTCAAGCACCAAGTAAAAGAAAAGAGAAGGCAGCGACCAAAGGATGGAACTCGAAGAAGTGTTAGTATAAGTACAATCATGGATCGATATTTCAAAAGATGCGAAGACATTAAAAGACAAAAAACATGACCATTTTTTTAGACGAGTTACAAAAAGGTTCCACAAAGGAATGAGTTTCCAGAGTATCGTTCAAAACATTAAGTGTACTTCAAATGGGAGAAGACAAATAAGGAAGTCATCTTGTTTCTTGATTTGTATAACATGAAATGTTAATGAAAAAGTGGAGAAAATGATGAGGTGATTTTGAAGAGAGCTCTAAAAGTGTACCATCAAGAAAATAAGAAAACGTTAAAGTTTATTGAGTTTTGAAATGTCGTGAAAGATAACAAAAAATGAAAAATGAACAAAACATCTGCCGAGCATATCGATAATGGTTCAAAACGTTAAGAACATTTGAATCTGACTACACTACATAAGATGTTCATGTTGGGTTCGACCTCAACGATGATGAACCCGTTCAAGTTATACAACCTTTATGACTAATGAGAAAGGACAAAGACAAAGGCAAAACAATAGATTTAGATGACTTAAAGAAATGGGAGACGATATGAAATATAAAAGAAAGAACAGATAAATTTTTGCAAATTGCTTCTGAAACCGACATTCGGAAACAAAGAGATAGTGACATGAAAGTACTATTGATAGACACATCGCACATGACCGGGAAGAAACTTGAAACTGTTTTGGCGATGAAAGTTGACATTAGAAAACATTATGCTAAATAAGTTTAAAATTTCTAATTATTTTTAATAGGTTGTTGTGTGGTTTTTTATGCTTACACCTTTAAAATTTCTAGTTATTTTTATTTTCTAAGTATATAAGACTTTTTAATATCATGTTATATATATTTTTTAAGTGATACAATGTTATGTTTTTTATTTTTAAGTAATGAAATATTTTTTTTATTAAATTGAAATTTTTATTTAAATTATATTGTTAAAAAATGTGACACCACGCCTAGTTTGTGGCAAAGAAACTATAGTGAAAAAAAAAAAAAAAAAAAAAAAAATTCTACCACACCCTCCAACATGAGAAACTCACTATTCATCATTACCTGATCGTATTTTGAGAATTAAGGATTAATTGGAAAGCTCTTTCACATACTCGAGTTCCACTAATAAAACTTACTTTTATTCTTTGCTTCAATAATCTTTTCAATTAGGTTTTTCATCACTTCTAATCCCTTCATCCGGTTGTTTTCTAGTTCCAAGCGATGCTCATCTCAAGATTCTCTCAAACACATAAATGCAACAGAATAACAAAAGTTTTTGAAGAGTTCTCAACACACAAAAAAGGATGCATTCATATATGCCAACATGAGAATAAGCAAAAAGAAAAATACCCCAAAAAAAAATGGTACTTAAATGTCTACACAAACTATAAAATTATCAATTTCTGGTGGTTCTTATATCACCCATCTCATAGCTTTTCACAAAAAGGAACAACGTAGTGCTGAGTTATTGACCAAAAAACCACATGGTGTCACTTGTTAGTGCTCACCAAACATTTGTCATATGCTTATTTCAAACAACAAAATACAATTACTAAAAAGCCCTTGGCGAGTTGTACAAAAAAACTTATGCACTCTTCTTCACTTCAGCAGCCTTGATGATGTCAATGAACTCCGGCTATTATAATAAACCAAACAAACAATTAGAAACTTTTTCAAATAAATAATTACAAAGATTTAATCATTATACAAAATAGTTGATTAAGAAAAAAAAAAAAAAGAGAGCAAGAATTTACCTTGAGTGAAGCTCCACCAACCAAGAAACCATCAACGTCTGTTTGTCCTCCCAATTCCTTGCAATTGGAACCACTCACAGATCCTGCAATGTCAATGTCATATTGTCATGCCAATGTTTTTACACCAAAAAAAAATGGTGAAAATACATTGTGATTTTACATATCTGTCCATGAAACCAAATCACAAATTCCAATTCCACCCAAAACACATCATTTAGTGAAAAAGATTAATAATAAAGATATACCTCCATAGATAATCCTGGTTGAAGCAGACACTTCAGCACTGACATTGTCACTAAACCATTTCCTCAATCCTGCATGTACCTGATACATTGGAAGTTGAGAAATGAAACTTAAATTCTTACTATTTATTATGTTTAAAACATGCAATTATTGGGTCCCACTTACTTCTTGAGCCTGAGCTGGAGATGCAACCTTTCCGGTTCCAATAGCCCAAACTGGCTCATAAGCCAAAACAACATTATCCCAACTTGAGATTTTATCTGCAACAAAATAATTACTAAAATCAGAATCACATAGAAAAGGCATATTGTGATTTCTTGCATTAAACACCAAAAACATAACTTTTGAGTGCAAGTTACTTATTATATCAAAGATAAAACAAGATTTTGATTTTTGACATACAGTAGAAGCAAAGTTTAGTTTTAAAATAATTACCAGCAATTGCTTTGGTTTGTGCAGCAACAACTTCCATGGTGGTTCCAGCTTCTCGTTGCTCAAGAGTCTCCCCAACACAAGCAATAACCTTCAAACCTTGAGAAAGTGCGTATGCAACCTTGTCTCCAACAAACTGAATGAAACAAGAAAAAAAAAAAAAAAACTTTTTCAGTTATTTTGCATACAACACCGATTAAGATGTTCAGAAGGAAAAATGTGAACGATTTGAATAGGCTGAGTAAAATCTACACAAGGAAAAGGGTACCTCATTAGTTTCATTCAAAAGGGCTCTCCTTTCAGAGTGACCTAGGATGACCCAAGGGATGCCCAAATTGGCAAGCATCTCAGCACTGTAAATATAGAAAACCAATTTCAGTATTTAGTAAGAATCAAGAAGAAGAAATCATAGATAGGAAATTGAAAAGTTTTGGAAAAAAAAAAAAGGATGGTAATTTGATAAATGACACTTTGAAACATACCTAACCTCACCGGTGAATGCACCACCCTTCTTAACCCAACAATTTTGAGCTGCAACTTGGATTTCAGGCCTCAATTCACTTTTAACAGAGGTAAGAAACACAAAAGGAGGGCTCACCACCACCTCTGCAAGAATAAAGGTTTGTTGAGATTTGAGACATCAATAAGATGAATACCTTACAAGATTCACAGGTTATACATATAAGATCTATGCCTTCACGAAGAAGAACTTGGGGCAGATATCATCTGTAGGTTACGTACCAACAACATCGGTGGATGGAATTTGACCAGCATTAAGTGTAGCCACAATCTTCTTCACATCCTCGGCAGTTCCATTCTACCAAATGAAATATCAAATCAGCAAAATGAGATTTCCAAATTCAATACTCATATTATATCCTACCACAAGTAAGTATACGTTAACACTAAAACAGAGAAACACCATTACATTCAAAGAGTATATTTCTTTCTGTATAGAAATCAGATCATCACTGTTGACTTTTTAATCAAACTTATCACTTTTTAAATCCATAATCAAAATGAAATTTATCTCGCTTTACGAATCCATAAAACCGTGATCGCATCATCTAGCAAATGCAAAGCATGCTGAATTCATTTGACGATAAATTTCCAGTAAATTTATCATTAAGCAGAA